GTCTAATAGTAAGGCAACAAAGCAAAATCAAAAGTAAATTCTGCTTGCACTTGAAGCAGCAAAAGGATGAAAAGCTGCAGTGTTTGCAGGCAGAAATAATAGGATTGAAAACCGAGATCTTCAACAATGGCAGCAGCCTTCAAGGAAAAATTTGCTGCTTAGACAGGTCACCTTCATCCCTTATTCTCCTCCTTTTCCAAACAGCAAAAGAACAATGGTGGGGGGGAGAGATTTCCCTTCTTCTTGTAAAGCAGGAAAAACTCATGAAAGGAGAGCACGGACCTTCCCTTTTCTCAGTGGCTTCTTTGGGAATCAAAAGTTACCCTCCTTGTGTCCTTGCTAGAAGTGTGAGATGCAAGGAAAACGGTACTTGTGATGAAGGAGAGGGAAAGCAGAAAAGGTTTCACAAATGAGGACTGATTGAGCAGTGACTCACCTGGGCAAATGTGGAAGTGGAAGAGATAAATGAGAAAGAAGGGGAAAAGCTCTCGAGTCCTCCTCCTACTCTGAGCTGAACTACAAAGAGGAGTGCATATCCGGCTGGAAGATGGCATGCTTGCAGTTAGACATGAGGGTTGAGTAAGAATGTATTTTGAGTCATTGTTAAAGCAACTGTTTGCTCAAGGAAGAAGTAATTCTGAAAACATTGGCTCCTGCACTTCCATAAAATCTTTACATCTTTTGTGCATATTCCTTCTCTCAAATATGGTACGTGCATCTCCCATTTTTTTCAGTCAGGCAAAGAACTGACTATAATTCAATGTTTTGCCAGCCTTGTGTTTGATTGTTATAACAATTTTGTAGGTTAATGACATTTTCATAAAACATTACATGTGTCCTTTTTCTGATTTCCTTCCTTGCTTACAGCAAATAACCACAAGATGTTGTCAGAATTTGGGATTCGAAACGGCACTCGGCTGCAAGCGGATGACTTTCTGCAGGATTATACCCTACTGATCAATGTGCTACACAGGTGAGGAAGGTCAAATCCAACTTTATGAGATATTGCTGAAATCAGAATTTCTGCAGAAAGAATGACAGAGATGTTGCTAGCAGAGAGATCAAATCTGTGGCTTTTCTTGGCCAATGGCAGGAACCTGGAGGAGGCTCAGAAACACTTCTCATTCACCAGGCAGCCTCGCCCATAGAAGCTTATTCTTGTCTGTGTCTATTTGAATAGCGAAGACCTTACGAAAGATTTGGAATTTGAAGTCGTTGGCGATGAGATCGTTGGCCCCAAATCAGAACAGCCCACTAGAAATATCACCAATGGAAGTGATGATGGAGCTCAGCCGTCGACATCTACAGGTAAGAAAACAACAACATTGCTGAGGTACTTTGGTCATTTTGGAAGTTTTGGCAGCAAGTTGCATGTTGAAATGTAATGCATGTTGAAGAAAACTAATTGTTTTGTACATTAGGAATTAAAGTGGTTTAGTAATTCACATCCTTCACTGCAAATGTCAGGTTGTAACGTATTCATAAATGGTTGTTCTCCAACAGCAGAAAGTACTAATAGAAATAAAAATGCATAGATGCTTCCTGTAAACTTGCATTTTAAAGAATTGTAAAAACAGTTTGCAGTATGATAACTCTTTTCTAGCTCACGATGATGATGATGATGATGTTCTGATTGTTGAGACTGAAGAAGGTCTATCAAACAATGCTGATGGCACAGAAGCTGAGAACCGCAAGAGGAAGCTTGAGGACAAAGAATACACTGGGGCGAAAAGAATGCGTTCCGAGCTGCCAGATGACAAACAGGATGATGTGATAGCCCTGGACTGAGGGCTGCCATGCCAGGGGGTGTGCCCCAAAAGCCAGTGGAAGGGAGGTGTGAATAGCTGTATCAGCCCGATTTGCAGAATCTCTTTCCATCAAATTTAGATCTCCCCCAGTATGCTATTTGGAATATACTGGGTTATCTTATCTACTCCAGCAGTCACAAAGATGAAGCTCTCTATAATGTTTGAAAGATGAATTGATAAAGGAAAACAAAGGAACTGCAGATTAGTGAAGAGTTATAAATTGGTAAATTTTTAGAACATTTCAATTCTGGCTTAAAAAACATTTCTTAGCCTAGTTCTTGCAATTTGTCACACCTTCAGAGCTAAATTTGAAAATGAATGAATTGTGTTTCAAGTAATCATTGGACACTATGTAAATTACTGTAAAACAATACTCCGTCAGCTGGTAGTGCCTGCTATGTCAAAAATGGATGTTGGTGTAGTGTTAGAATTTTGGATTATTTATATAGGATGTTATGTAAAACTTAACTGCTATTCTACCAGGCATCTGATGGACCAAATAAATACATTAGCTATTAACTATATCTGTTGGCACAGACCACCTGTGTGCTGGCATGAGGATTTGTAAAATGAATTTATAATACTGTATTAACTTTGATTTTAAGTATCCACAAACATACTGCAGGGCTTTTGAAAAAGTTTATTTGTTGGCATTGAAAAGGGAGGGTTTTTTAAATAAAAAAAATTCACTGTCAGAAAAAAAATCTTTATTTGCCATGTGAACATTTAAATCAACTTCTTAAGTGATTTCACTGTTTCAAAGTATGAAAAGTAAGTTGAGATATGTAATACAACGGCTAGTCCCCAATTGTGGTTATAGGATGAAAAATACCTGCAACCTCTTTGTGCTGGGGAAAGCTGTCCTTTATAGATGGCTTACAATTCTTAGATGGCACCATCTCATAGTTACTTCTTCAGATGATGTTCTAGCTAATTAAGCATGGCGGGAAAGGGCTGCCAGCTTTATTTAGTAATCCGGCAGGAGGAGAAAGAGCTCCAGACCATCTACTACCTACAAAATGTGGTCAGAATGAAACTGCAGCAACAGTAGGTTGCAAGTGTACACAAGCTATGTTCCCTGATAGGAGCTGGAGCAGATGAATCTCCTTTTCCAATTGTGCTTGTATAATCCCTCTTCAGTCTCCCTCATGTACGCTGGGCTCAGATACCACGCTGAAGTTAAATCTAGCCACCCAAAGTCGCTCAAGGGTAAGACAGGGACAAGCCTGACACAGGGCATTAGATATGCTATACAAAATAAAGGCAAATTGTTAAAAGAATAATAATTCAAGACTTTAGGCCCTGCCACATTTCACCCCAGGCTTTACAATTGCCCATAAGGAAGACAAAAGTATGTGAATTTGACACTACCTAGAATCAGCAGAAGAGAAGAGAAAATCACTAAAAACAATGTCCTGCAAATAGAAGTGAACTGACTGGGGCAAAAGAAAGCAAAGGTAATATCAATAATGAAGGCGCCTGGGGTGCAATCCTGAAAAAAACAGGAGCACAACTTGAACACCATCGGCCTTGACAAAATTCCCAGCACTCCATTGCAAAAGGCAGCTTTACTGGGAATAGCTCCATCTTCTGACCAAACCTATCACACCATCAAACATCCAGATCTGCCTATCCCAGGACCCTGGAAAAGACTCTGGATAAAAATGCCAATCCAGTTTTAAACATCTGGCTGACTGTCTGATGACTCCCCCAGACGATTCCACAGAGGCCTCCAAATGTCATCTCGGGAGAGGATGAACTGGTTTTTGGTTGGCCTGTCAGGAGCTGAGTTAATTGATGGCTCCAAGTGGTTGTCTGGACGGGAGTTGGCTGAGGCTCCAGCTGGAGAGAACATGCAGTTACAGATGGTCAGTGAGGAGGAACTGCCTTCTACACCTGAGAGAAGAAAGCCTCGCCATTCTTGATGGGCTGTACCAGAAGCTGGCTATTTAGCACAGCAGAGAGATGGAAGCAACTATCGGAACATGTTCGGTTCCTAGCTATGTTTTCCGGTCGTTGTGATCCCTGCCTCACTTTGGATTGTCACCATACCTTGATTTGAACTGTGCCTTGGAAACGACTTTTCTTGCCTCGTAAGCTCTCTTCTGTTGTGAATTTCAGTTTGCCCGGTGGATTTATTTTGTTTGAGAAACTTTCAAGTGCCTTGTGGAGTCTTTGGCCATTGCTCTCTGGGCTAACATTATTGGTCTGCTCATGACTGGACTTAATTGAGACAATTCTGGGGGTTTGGGTGAAGAGAATTGCTGGGGAATATTAATAAACTCTCTAAACCACAGTTATATGTGCATGTGAGTGAGCGGGGCAGCACAATATGTGATGAACTATAATCATCACAGGCGTCCCCAGAGAAGCACTATCTTGATGTGGTTTTGTAGGGCTTGTGTGCTCCGAGGAAGATGAGAGCTATGCCAGAGGTTCAATCACATTGGACAGGTCTCACTAGAGGAGCCAGACAAAGAGTGTCTCTCCCATTAAAAATATGGTGGCTTAGAATTTACAGAAACATCTACTTGGGCAGTCACATCAACACAAACTGCACCAGGTGTTTGAGTTCCTGGACATCTGGAGGGAAATGGGCTACAGGGCTCAGGACTGTTGGCTGACCTCAGGCTCACAGGTAATACAAGAACATTTGCACTTCTCAGATGACCCTGAGCACACAGCTCCATATTCTGGATGGGGATAACACAACAAATGGGAAACTTGGCCTTCATTCCCTAGGACGGGAAAACTGGGAAACAGGTCATCAAACTCACCCCGGGGGAGGGTTGCAGGAAACGCCAAGCTAACCGCCTCATTTAGTTAATTATTACACTTGCGCTCCTCTCCCCAAGGCGAGCGAGCGTTCCTCGCGCTTACAGCCCTCAATCCTCCTGGGTTATAAAGCGAGGACTGCGCTGCGCAAGCGGAGGCCGGCACCCGCAGCGACCACCACCCGTTTCCCCGCGCCGTCGGGCCGGTTCCCGAAGGGCAGGCACACGGCGGGGGGGGGCACAAGCCGCAGGGGGTCGAGGAGCGGGCCCGCCCCGCCCGGTCGCCCGCGGAGAACGGCAGCAGCGCAGGCGGGGGGGCGGCTCCCCTTGCCACGCCCCCGCCCGGGTCAAGCCATTGTTTGGCGCCGGAGCGAAGCGCATTCCAGAGGGACGCAGCGCCGTCGGGCTCCTCCGCGCATTCCTGCCCCACACAAAGAAGTTCCTCCGCCGCCTGCCGCCGCCGCCTCGCCCGCACAAAGGAGGGCGCCGTCCGGAGAGCGCCGCCCCGGACAGGGAGCGCAGTGCAGCGCAGCGCAGCGGCCGGGAGTCCAGCGAGGCGGACCTTCGCGCGGCGCCTCCCCCGCGCGTGGCCGGGCGAGGCCGGGATGCCTGGCGGCGGCTCCTGCCGGCAGGACGCGGGGCGGCCGCGGCACTAACCAGCCAGCCAGCCAGCCGGAGCGCGTGGAACAGGGCGCCCGGCCCGGCGAGCCCATGGCCGAGCCGGCGCTGACCCAGGAGGGCGTCGGGCGGCGCCGGTGGCGGGAGCAGCCCCTGAACGGGCCCCCGCCTCCCTACCCGTCGGGGGAGGCCGCCTGCCCGCCGTCGTCGCGCGGCCCGACCGGCGAGGAGGGCCCGTGCCCGCGCTCGGAGGTGGCGCTGCCCTGCTACAAGCGCTACTCGGCCGAGGGCTTCCCGCGCGGCAAGGCGGCCGGAGGGATCAGCCCGCGGGCCTCGACGTGCTGCGGGCCGGCGCCGGGTAGCGGCGGAGCCCTGGCCAGCCCGCGCGGGAGCCTGGCCGCCGCCGAGCCACCGCTGAGCCCGCGCTCCAGCTACGCCAGCACGGCCAGCGACGCCAGCAAGCACTCCAGCCCGCGCGCCAGCCTGGCCGGCTCCTCCGACGGCAGCAAGCCCAGCAGCGCCCGCACCAGCGGCATCAGCATGGGTTACGACCAGCGGCACGCCAGCCCGCGCTCCTCCGCCGAACTGGAGGCCGCGACCGGCCGGTCCTCGGCGCTGCCGGGCTCCGTCGGCGCCACCTCGCTGGTCAGCCCGCGCTCCAGCCTCTCCAGCCACAGCTCGCGCAGCTCCCGCAGCTCGATGGGCGCCTACCCGGAGCCGCCGGCTCCCTCGCCGCGGGCCTCGCTGCTTCCCGAGGAGGGTCCTATGGCAGACGCCGAGGCCGCCGCGCTGCCCTCCGGCCCGGCCGCCAAGTTGCGGCTCCCCTGCCAGGTCACGCCGGCCCGGGAGAGCGGCCCCAGCCAGGTGGAGCGGCGGCTGGAGGCGCTGACCCTGGAGCTGGAGAAGGAGCTGGAGATGCACGTGCGGAAGGAGTACTTCGGTGAGTGCGGCGGCCGCGGGAGGGAGGGAGGCAGGCAGGCAGGCAGGGAGGTCGTCTTCCCCTTCTCGGGCACGGCCCCCCCCCCCGGCTTCCTCGGGTCGCGGCGCCGGGCCGGGCCGGGCTCGCCCGGCCAAGGAGGCCGCCTGAGGGTTTCCCACGAGGGCCGCTTCCCACGGCCCGCAAGATGCTGACCCCAACCTCGGCCCCACCTTGGCCGCCTCCCAACCTGGTTTAAACGGGTCGGTTAAAGAGCAGCCGGCTCTCTTCGCAGCAGCACGTGCTGAGGGTAGCTTTCATTCTGGTGAAAAGGTTTTTCTTTGTGCGGTCCCGACATTTTGTGGTATACAGTCTTGTTCTGCTCTGGGCCAGATTCTTTCCCAGCACCTGTGAGATCCGAAGGCGGCCTTTCCCGCCCCCGAACAGGCTCCGTTCATTCCCTTCGTGAGGGGGAGAGACCCCCCTCAAACGAAGCTGGCTGGAGTAGGTGCTCCAGAGGGGAAGAAGAAGAAGAAGAGGGGCGCCTCCTCCGCCTTTGCTGGGATTCTTTTTCACTGTAACAAGACTAGTTTTGTGCTTGGTCCCTTTTCCCTACTTAAGCAAAGTTAAAAAAGCAAGTTTGGCATTCAGTGGTCCGAAGGGCTCCTTTCAACCCTAGGCCGCTGTGAGAACCGGAAGGGCCCTGCCTTAGCAAGAAGGCCTCAGGCAGTCCTTTTCTGGGCCTTAAAGTTTCCTGGAACATCTGGCCAGCTAGTGGCAAACTGACAGACAGGGTGGCCCTTTTGTACCATCTGGCAGGCGGTTGGGCGGCTCTGCCACTCTCTTCCTAGGGCCCGCCTTCTGGGACCGTCAGCTTCCAGAATTTCCAGCCATCAGAACGGCCAGTAAAGAGGACCCTGAATGCTAATGCCCAGGTTGGGAAGGCTGTTTGAATGCTGAAAGTGCCCCGAGGAATCCAGGCAGGTTTTGGATGTGGCCGTCTGTACGGTCAAGGCAGGAGAGGGTATCCTTGTAGCAGCTACAAATCGCCCTTAATGGCCTTTGGAGAAGGAAAGCTCTTGGAGCAGGCAGGGGCGGGCAGAAATTTTTCATCTTTAAGTGGAAGAAGGCTCGGGGTTTTCTTTTTTAATTTTGTTGTGCCTCTTTCATGAGTTACATTCTAGTTTGGGGGGTTTCCCCTTCTTCATGACAGGAAACTATCATCTGCTTTCTTGGTTAACTTGGAAACTCCATGACCCAGAATAGTGTTCCAGGTCTGCAGAGTATTTGCTCCTGACCTGATGAAGTTTACCATGTTTCCAAGGTGAAATGACGGATCATCTCTCTGAAGGTCGAATGTTCCAGATCATTTTCCTGCCCTGCAACCTCCCACCTTTGTAAGAAAAGACCAGAGAAGTGCAAATTTGGGGAGTTGCATGTAGATTGCTGTAAATCATAAGATGCTTTCATGGAAATCGGGCACTTTTTGCTGAACCACCATTGACACTTTTTTTCTCATGAAATTGATAGTGTTTTGGTTTAGCATTTGTTTTACTTTCAAGCAAAGCTAAAACAAATGCACTAAGCTACTGCTGCTTGTATTTGGTTAAAGCATCACGGTATGTTTAGATTTAGTTGAACTGAAATATAGCAAAATATAGGAAAATGTATTTTCAAAGTGCTGTATTTCAAAATACATAAATACTTGGAAAAAGGCTCCCAAACTTCACACTGTGATGTCTAAAAGTGATAAATGAATTTGTGTGAGCTCCCATTAATAAAGCAAAGGATTTACCGTAACTGGAATTAGGGCTCAGCAAAACATACATATTTCACTTACCTGGAATAATTAAATTTGTAGTCAATACAAAGGGAGGGGAATAAACATCTTAGAACAGGGTTCTCCAGAGTGGTCGGTATCAAGCCCCAATCCAAGGCCAACGTTGTTCTTACTATTACCCAGAGTACTCTTACACTATAACTAGTGTGGGAGGGTGTCAGTGAACAGTCTGAAATTTCATGAGGTGGTTGATGCTGAATAGTTTGGAGAACCTTGGAAGATTTAGGAGCATCTTGACAAGTTGGAACAAAGGGCAACCCCCTTTGTCTACTTAGACTCATCAGCAGAAGTAGACTGCCAAAAGCAGAAGTCATGCTCAAATTACATGTAGAATATTACACCTAGTCCTAGATACAATATTATAGGATACATTGGACATAGAACAGCAGCCCCCAACATTTTGGGCACTAGAGACCGGTTGGGTGGAGAGGTTTTTCCGTGGACTGGGGGGTGGTGGTTTCGCATGCTGCCTGCATCCCACGGATGTGGTTGGGGACCCCAGACATAGAAGACAGCAACTGGTAACAGGGAGGAAGAAAGAGAACAGTTGGCGATATTTGGTATCATTAACCTGAGGAAAACAAAATTGTGGGGAGACATTGTAATGGCATTAGAGCAGACTTGGGCATTCTATGGTCTGAGGGCCACATCTGGCCCCTTGGCTGTCCCCGTCCGGCCTGTTGGGGCCGCCAGGGGAGGGAGTGGCCCATTGGTTCGATCCTCCACAGCAGTCCCAGTTTCATATATGGCCCCTTGGGAATATTAATTGCCCACTCCTGCCTTAGAGAGTGTTTAAAGGTTGCCATGTAGAATTCTGCAGCAGAATTGTTTAGAATTGTTTTAGAACTAGAAAATTCAGCTACATCTTACAAAAAATGAATCAGGACTATCCATTCATTGATGGAATAAGCTATTTCAGAATATTTCATGAAAGGGTCAGTGAACTAAAGAGTTTGGGGATCCTTGAGGTTCTTTAAGATCCTTTCTAACTCTTCCATTCTATGTTTCTGGGAATTTTTAATCTATATAACAAACTGTCATACCACAAATATCTATTGCACAAACAGAGACAGTTTGGTGTAGTGGTTTAGGTAGCAGGCTAGAACCCAGAAGAGTGTGAGTTCTAGTCCCTCATTAGGCATAAATCCGCTGGGCAGCCTTAGGCCAGTCACTTTCTCTCAGCCCTAGGAAGGAGACAATGGCAAATCACTTCTGAAAAATCTTGGCAAGAAAACTGCATGGATTTGGCCAGTACTCTGCAAGAATCAGACATGATTGAACAGAATAAAAAAAATAGCAAGGCAAAGACTGGAATGATTTTTTACAGTGCTGTCTTTTTGTAGAGCCTGATCAGTTTTTTTAAACACGATTGTACACTTTCCTTATGAAAAGTGTACAGCATTCCAATCTACAGTTTAGAACCTTAGTGTAATGATTGAAATAATGCAAACATACGCATTTTACTTTCTGTTTCAGGGTAAGCATTCTTATACAGAACATAAAAGCATAAGCCTAAGAAGAAAGGAAATTATAACTAAAACCACACATGCCAATTCCATTGCTTTGTAACTCTTTGTACCATTGCTTCTATGAAACGACTCTCTTTGCTTCCACCACATCCATACTTCTTGTCTATGCTGCCTTGTGCTCTTTAAGCTTTGACTTGTCTCGGTTTGAAGATCTCATCAGCATCTTACCATGACTCGCTGGGGCTTCCCTCCCTCTCCCACATATTCTTTCATACATTTGTTTTTGTGACTGGATTCTGCTTCCTTCAACCACAATCAGTCAACAACATAACATCTGCATACATTCCTGCTTCTAAGGTGATACCTCAAATGTCAGCAGAGGCATTTTATATAGGTAGACCTTGACCTTGACCCATTTGGTCAGCAATGTTCCAGATTACAACTCCGCTGAACAAATGATGGTCCTCAGAGTTTTGGCTGTTTCAGCACCCTATGGTCACATTGCAATCTAAGTGCAATTGGTTGCCAAGTGCTACAATCGTGTGATCATCATTTGCAACCTTCCCTACTGGTTTCTCCAGAGAATCAATGGCAGGGAAACGTGCAAGTTGTTGGAATAAGTCTCCACCGGCCATGTGTCCTCCTCTAATCTCTGTGTTTCAGCTGGCAACTAGCACCCGCCCACACACCTCCACAACCTCCCCCACAACCTTTGCTGTACTTCCCAGGGACCCATGTCCTCTCCCCACCTGCATCTCTCACACCCTCAAGTACCCTCCTCAACCCTCTCTGATCCACGCAGCACCCCTCTCACACCGCCCCCAACTTGCACTGTGTCTCTTGCCTAGGCCGCCTTGTTTTGGATTTAGACCATGTTTTTCCCCTTGTCATTTTGGCAACAGAGGGGGTCTATCCATGACAAGGTCATCTTCCTTACAGTGCTCTTTTCAGTCGGCTGTGAGTGAAGAATATGGGAGAGCTGCGATAAGGTCCTGAGAGATGCCAACACTGGAAAAAGAAACTTGTGCTTGCCACCTCCTCATATTTAGAACTCTAGTCGTCTCTGTTCCCACTAGGTTGCTCTGGTGCAATTTGAATGCATCCAGTGAAGGCAGCCCCTCCCCTCTTCGGCTTTATACTTGTTAAACTTTTTTAAAGGATATACAGGAACATAATCCAAGTGAAAGTTAGTAAATTCACTCATATTCTGTGTCTTCTCTTGGGATGGATGGAGAGCAGGTTTTGACTCCTATACAGTATTTTAGGTATTGGGAGACTGTCTGTCTGTCCCCCTCTCAGATTTTCTCAAGGCTAAATACAGTCCGTTTGCTCAGTCTATACTCTTAGGATTTAGTTTCCAGTCTTTTTATCCTCCCCCTGCACTCTCTCTTTCTGTTGTACCTTCAGATGGTAATTGAGGCAGAGCCTAAAGGAGAATATAGTGGAGCTGCTAAAAAAAAAACGTTTCCATTGTGATAAGCATCTGAATATGTTGGTTGTAAATGGGAAATATTCCCTTTGTTGGAATTCTCTAATCCTGTATCTTCCCTCTCCATGAATTGACTCTGCAACTCATGCTTGGAAGGAATTGCTTTCAATTTTATGCACCTGCCAGTCCAACAGCCCACCCTTAGTGGTGTGCCTTGTATACATAAAGTCTGTAGGATAGTTCCCGATGCATTCTTATGACGGGCCTAGGAGATGTGGAATGCTGCATCCGAATGCACATTTTCAGGAGGCTGTTATAAATTGGAATGTGCCCATTGAGTGACGATTTAAAAATGGGGAGCATTGGGAAATGATAGGGCTGAAAAAATTACTCGGTAGAACAGTAAGATTAGACGTGAAAGACTGCTTTTTGAAACATTGCCATGTAGAAGTGCCCCATGATTGCTCTGGAGAAGGACTAGAACCAGGAGGGAGAAATCGCACGAAACAACATTTTGGCTCAATTTTGTGTGAAGCTTCCTAGAAACAGCTGATATTATGAGTTCTGATTTGCTTGAGGAAAATTTATTGTTCCTTCCAATAATGTGATTCTTGGAAGTTAGGGCGTCGGGTGGATCTGTTGCTGTGTTTGAAGATTTATTAAAATAAATGTTGATTAAATGAGCATGTTAGTGTAAGATTGCACTAATTTTGGAAAGTTATTTTGCACTAATTTTGGAAATTAGCCGTTCATGAGTTACCTTTTTACCCAGGCAGAATTTTCACATTTATTGCCAAATTCAGGCTGATGCAGCTAGACCAGGGGTAGGCAACCTTGGCTCTTTCATGACTCGTGGACTCCAACTCCCAGAATTCCTGAGCCAGCATGTAGGTGCCAAACCGAGACAAAAGGAGTGTTATCTTATGCCCTTTCTAGAAGCATCTGAATAGGTGCTGCTCTGAGTGGGTGCCGGGTTTGGATAGTACACAGCTACACTCTGTGAGGAGAGTGGGATGGGCAGGGCATTGAGGATGAGGCTGACCGAATCACTTTTTCTGTTTGTCTTTTTGATATGCTTGTCTAAAAAAGGGGCTGTAGCGTTTCTTCATTCTTCGGATGCTCCAGTGCCTCTTTGAACAATTTTCCCAAGTGAAATAGCATCTGTTTAGTGGAGGGAAATGACCGCGATCTGCTGTACACAAATGTTCTCCCGAAGTACTGGAATTGTCCATAGGCCAAATTTTATTTTCAGTACATAACTTTGGCAAACAATGCAGCTGTGTTTTCTTCCAGTGACTCGGCAAATGCTACTCTTTGTTCTGGTTCTCTGGTCTCATGTAATGAGTATTCCTTCTTGCCCCTTGCCAATAGTTTCTTAATTCTTAATTAATATTATAAGAGAACGTGCTAAATGTACACAGGCAAATTTGCAAGTGGTACTTGCAAATTTTTTATTATTACTTTTTATAATTATTTTATTGCAAGGATTGGCATTTGTTTCTCATGGAATTAGGGAATAGCTTTCAGTCTGGTTTCTGCAAGGGTTGCAAGGTTCACCCTAAGGACCAATCCATTTGGCACCAATGACCTTGAGCAAAGGTTCTTCTGTGGTTCTGGAACGGTGAAGGTGCAGGGATGTATGTATCTGACAGGGCTTTCTGCCATGGGCAGCCCTAACCTTTCACACACCCCTTGGCTGAGGCAAATGGCGACAGGGAGTTCCCATGTGAAGCTACTCCCCCTTGCCCCCCAATGCCAAGAACAAAATAAAAGCAATAGCTGGCAAGAAAATTACTTGCCTCTGAAATGAGCTACTCCTTGGCAACAATAACTGACTTCCATTTGAGTTTAACAGCTATAATCACTCATGCACAGAAGCACGTAGGTATGGGCATGTTAATACCCACCCCGCTCACTCTAGCAGAGCAGAAAAAGGTTGAAAGAAAAGGATTGGAAAGAGGGAAAGGAGGTGAGTGGGAAATTAAGAAATTGAAAGTGTACCACAGGGGTTAGAGCCATTTGCACCCCACAGCTCTTCTGTTGGAATGTCATGTTTTCCTACAAATAAGATACCTGCAGATTGCTAGTGGGGAGGGGTACCTGCAGACCATTAACAAGGTCTTAACGCCTCTTCTGTTTTTTTCCTCCAAAGGTATTTGTATCAAGTGTGGAAAGGGGGTGTATGGGGCCAGCCAAGCTTGCCAAGCCATGGGGAACCTTTACCATACCAACTGCTTTACATGCTGCTCTTGTGGTAAGTTGCACATTTATATTCAGACAACACCTATACAATTCTTATACCTTGTGCCCCTGTTAAAACTGAACCCCGCCAGCAGGGTGTCTCCATGATCGTTCAGTGTGAGTTTTGATTCGTGCTACTTAAGAACAACTTCTGAAATGTGGCCTATTACTCTATAGCAGGGGTAGGCAACCTTGGCTCTTTTATGACTGGTGGACTTCAACTCCCAGAATTCCTGAGCCAGCCCTGCTGAGGGGAAAGGGAGAGGTTTCCAAGCTGAGCCATGCTGGCTCAGGAATTCTGGGAGTTGGAAGTCCACCAGTCATAAAAGAGCCAAGGTTGCCTACCCCTGCTCTATAGGTAGTCCTCGACTTATGGGCACAATTGAGCCCAACATTTTTGTTGCTAAGTGAGACATTTATTAAGTGAGTTTTGCCCCCATTGTATGACTTTCTTGACACAGTTGTTAAGTGAATCATTGCCGTTGTTGAGTTGGTAGTATTAAAGTTGTTAAGTGAATCTGACTTCCTCATTGACTTTGCTTGTCAGAAGTTTGCAGAAGGGGATCACATGACCTCAGGACAAGGCAACTGTCATAAATGAACCAATTGCCAAGCATCCGAATTTTGATCACGTGACCATGGGGATTTGCAACAGTCATAAGTGTAAAAAATGGTCATAAGTGACTTTCTTCAGTGCTGTTGTAATTTTGAATGATCACTAAATGAACTGTTGTAAGTTAAGGACTACTTGTATAGTGACTGTCACACACACTCAGGGGGAAGATTTGAACAGACCTTCGGATGGATCTGCTTCTCTCATCGGGTCCATGTAAACCTGGAAGCTTCTTGGGATTGTACTGCATCTTGAGTGACTTTCCCCCTAATGTAAGGACTGCGCCTTACCTTAAAGACCACCCAGGTGTTCTTGGGGGCATTTGGGGACCAAAGGAGCTTCTATTGGGGTCATTGGAGCTGCGCGTCTTGGGAGTTTGTTGTGTGATTTCTAATCTCATGATGGTGGCAGATTGTAAGCCATCAGAGTGTCCCATTGGATTAAAAAGACATTTCAAGTAAAGAAGTATTTAAAAATCAACACATAATTATTGCAAATCAGTTGTAAAGAGACAGTAGACACTTTGCTACAAGAAAAGAATATTTCTGGAATAGTCCTAAGAAAGTGCTAAAAGAATGGTACATGTTTTCCTTGGAGGAAAGGGAAATCCGATCAGTAAACATTTGGCAGAAACCACATTGGAAACATCTGTTTACTCCATACTTTGGATCTGATGTTATCAAGTGTTGGTCTAGAACTAGAAACATCTGGGATCAAAACATGCTTAATTGGGAAGCTCAGTGGGCGATCTTGGGAAAACTACTGTCTCCTAGCCTAGGCTGACTTTGGGGGTTATTGAAAGAATAATACGGCAAGCAAACCATGTATAGGTAGGTGATCTTTGGGTTATGGGATCGGAATTTCTATTGCTAAGCAATATGGGTATAAAGTGTGACCACAGGGAAGAAAGGGTGGATTGCCCGTAAGTCCCAAGAGTCAGACCAGAATCAAGAGCAAGAGATGCAAACTCCAAATAAGGAGGGATTTTCTGAGCTCTATCAAGCAGTGGGACCATCTGCCTCTTGGGTCGTGGAAGGTTGCATCACTGGAGGCTTCCAGCTGTGGGGACATGGGGACAACAGTTAAGAAATCGGACATTGTTCTCCTTCTCACCTATCCACCTCTATCCAGCCCAGGAAGCGAGAGGGAGGGCTGAAATCTCACGGGTTATTGGGCATCTTACATATCTGCTTTTTCCTCACGATGATTGGCAAAACCCAAAACAAACAACAAAAGGCAGCTCAGATATATTTTGACATTAATATCATTAATAATATTTGGATTTGTGGGGTCCATCTTGCTTTCTGAGCTTGGGGTTTCCCTGCAGATGTTTCCTTACACAACTAGGTAACATCATCGATGCTAGAAGGGAGTGGGGTTGTCCCTCTGTTTACATGCGAGTGGCTTGGCCTGTCAGTGTTAATGAGAGTGTTCCTGCGAGTTCTTTGATCAGGCTTTCATTTACTGCTTGATTTTTGGTCTGGTATTAATCCTGATATTAATCTCTGTTTATCTGGGTGTTAATTGCTGGTGAGGAAGTCTCTTGGTGTTTTTTGTGTCCTTTTTCACTTTCTGACAGTGTCCTTGAGCTACAGATATTTTCTTCTACTGATACATTTGGGTTTTTTGTTGAAAAATAAGGATTGCTGGGTAAGAGAAGGTTTTAGTCCTGTGTAGCCTTTGGCCAGCCAGTCTTTCTCTGCATTCCACACAGAATACTTTTTGCAATGATCTGTATACAAACAACTTTGTAAGAGAATGCTCTTCTACTCCCTTCCCCTACATTACTTCCCACTGCTCAGATCTTATATTTTTAACATTCTTTGCATGCTAAAAAAAAAAATTATCTCCAGCAGCTGTGGGAACCAGAGCCATGTGGGACACAAATGCCCCCTCTGGCTGATCAGAGCAGTTTGGCGTCAGGCCTGCTCAAACAGCGAATTCCTCCCAAATGGAAGGTTTCCACATGATGCTGGCCAAAGAAATTGTCCTTGGAAATCTTTGAAAGAAGGCTGTCATTGCCCCTTACATGAGCTGCGTGTTTTTATTTTTCTCCATTCTTAATGTCACAAAATGGAACTGGATCCATAACCCACAACAGGATGGAGGTTAGCTGGTTGCAGCCTCTCCAGCTTTGTCCTTTGCTCATCTGTGCGTCTCCAGCTCTCCCCGTAGCCATGTTGACAAGCTGTTTGGACGAATGTACTAGATTAGGGAAGGGGATCAGACCATATCAGGGATATCATTTGGCAACTTTTCTCTCGGGGTTCATAGCAAGGAGTCATGGTAATGATGCAGTGGTGACCAAAAGGTTGTCTATTCTTCTCGGGCTGTATGCTTTCAAGGACAGTTCCATGTAAGTCCTCTGGCATTGCAGAATTTTTAGATCAGGTTGATACTTGATTCATAGGGAGGACACAGTCACCTCTGTGGGAGCTGAGAAGCATTTCAGCTGCACACAAGCAGAAGAGTTCATACTTGTAGATTTGAAAACTGCCCTGATGGAAAACTGGGAGGTAGGGTTCCCATATAATGTAGTTTGGTAAGTATGAATCCAATACAATAAATACATGTGCAGTTCCTATATATTTTAAGCTTCTATGGAATTCTTGGACAGGTTCTTGCCCTCTGTGGTTCGGCCGTAGTTCAGCTAGCTTAGGGTACCAGCAGACCTCCATCGCTCTTCTCTCTGCTGAGTGGCATTTTAGAATCCGCAGAAGGATCGGGCAGTCCGCTTAAAGGGCAGTCCAACATCTGTGCAGATATTTAGGCCTTGGAGGCTGTCTTCCTTCTGGAAAATGCCTAGCGGCGGGGTCCCTTTTTGTGCAGTCCTATTCCTAGTAGGGGGGAACCGGCTTCCTTCTGTCTTTCAAGAACTGGTAGAGTTAAAGGGGTGCAGAAAAGTACTTCCTGGGAGGACCCTGCGTAACTTGGAATTTTGCTTAATATAATTTACTTGTTACTAGGGAGGAGGGGGGAGTTCTGCTCAAACATAGCCCAGTAGGTGACCTGAGCAATCTAGTCTTGTTTGAGATTCCCGTGGTCATTCCCCACACATTTTCAAACAAATCAGCGGAGGTACATGAGCGAAAACCCACTAATAAAAATTAAAGTTGAGATTTTCAAAAATCATGCACCAATGCAATATTTTAGGGGACCTCAATATTAATATTGGCAGTGATGGATGCTGTTGAGTAAAACAATGCCCCTTTTAAGAGATGCTCAAAATACTAATTAACTTTGGAGAATGAATAATAAATCTTGGAATTAGATACAAAATGTAATCAGTGTAACCACCCCCTCTCATATTCACACACATGTGTATTACTTCATTCTTAAAGAGGGATTTTCCAGACACTAACGTTAAAATACTCTTTACTGAGAACAGAGTGCATGGGATGGAGCGTAAACCTTTGGAAGAACAACTTGCATTCTTCAGGGTGTGCATGTGTGTGCATGCTGTGAGGTGGGGGAACAGGGCTGCCTCTCCCATGCTTAAATTGTCAATTGCAGACTGGGGTGAAATAGAACTGAGCAAGTCAGTGACCTCAGCCTCCAAGAATGCTCCTTGTTTATGTAGTGCTCCTGCTAGTTTAGCAGCAAGCCTTTTGTTCTGCGCAGACATTGCAGGCCAAGTTTGTGTTTATTGGTCGGCCAAAAGCTTGTGCGATATGAGATTTGCATCCTAATACTTGTAGTAACAAGACACATGCGGCCCCTCAAAAAAATAGTGCTGGGATCTTTTACTATGCCTTGGCAAATGTGGAATGGTTTTTGAAAAGATCTGCTGCAAACATTGAATGCTTCCTTCTGCAGAACTCTGATTGAGGGAAGGAAGGAAGGAAGGAAGGAAGGAAGGAAGGAAGGAAGGAAGGAAGGAAGGAAGGAAAGAAAGAAAGAAAGAAAGAAAGAAAGAAAGAAAGAAAGAAAGAAAGAAAGAAAGAAAGAAAGGAGAATTGCACTGGCTTCGTTTTGTTTTAAATAGCAACTTTTGCCTCCAGATTCTGTCTTGATTAGGCAGGAACTTTATTACTCAGAGGCCTGAAACTTCTAAAGTATTTTGGGGTCTCTGAAGAACTGCAATGCACTCTGCTGTAGTGCAGAAAATGTGAGTGTTTGTGTATCTTCTCCTCGGGATTGTCTTTCCGTTCACCACAAAAGGCCTTTTCAGCTTTTTCTGGCCTATCAGACGAGGCTCCAGTTCCACTTGAAGGAGGAGTGGAAGTGTTCTCACCGGGGAGCCTCTGCAACAGCCTTAGCGTAAAAGAAAGTACATTTGGGAAGAGGCCATCCTGATGTGGTCCAGGTTCATAAGGAATGCTACGTTTGTGTTCCTATCGCTGGGAATAAGGGCATGTGAAAGAGGAGGAAAAACCCGCAGGAAATGTTTTGCAGACGCC